ATGCAAATAAAATTAATTTTTAAAAAAAGATCATATGAAGATTATTACCATTTTTTTTTATAATTATGGAATTATGATTTCTTATCATAATATTTCTGTAACTATTCTGCATATAAAAGTATTAAAGTAAAATCATCGAAAAATCAATATTTTATGAGATATTTAATAAATAATCAAGCTCAGAATCAGAAATCAGCCTTTCAGTGAAAATAAATCAACAAAGTGTTAGAGTATATTCACACAACTTGCAAAGCTGCATAAACGTATGCATAAAGAAAATCCAATCATATTTTATGTGCACCTTTATAGGAGAAATGCGATTGAATAATTCTCTTTATGCATATGTTTATGGGATTATATAAGTTTGTGTCGATATAGTCTAATGTCCATAAGAGTCAATACAATAAGTTCAAGTGTACATTTATTTTATTCTATCGAGATTCAATCGATATCGCTTGCATCTTAAAATTGTAAAATTTTCATTAAAACATTTTTTCCTAATATGTTTAATTCTATGTGTCAAAAAATTTATCACTTAAAATAAACTGTTTGGTATCAATTATTGAATAATTGAAGTCTTACTGCAAAACAAGCTGTTTCACCAGGTACAATAAATTGAATGTGACCAGACATTGCGTTTTCAGATACGCCACTTTCAAACCATTTCTGATTAAGTTCATTACAAGCAGTGTTTATTGCCATGCGAGCTTCAAAATTATCAACACAACTCAGTACTAAGTCGACTGGACCATTTTTCAAACTGGAGTTACTGCAAAAATATATAAATTTAAATTAAGTAAAACCACTAAAACATACGTCGATTTAAAAAAATTCAATTTGTAAATGTATATATACCTTATTGTATTCATAAAATTTTGAAAATGATTAACAGTCGTAATATTATAATTATGTATTTCAATTTCCACATCAGGATTTATGTAATGCAAGGTATTTGCTGCAGCCTCTACTTTACTCTGGCCTGTTTGATGTGGTTGAAAAAATAATCTATTCATATTTGCAAGTTCTACACTATCATAATCAAACAGTATCAACTGAAACATATAGTAAAACATTAAATGATTCATTTAACACATAATCTATGTTATTATCATATTCCTACCTTTCCGATACCGCATCTTGTTAACATTTCTGCTGTTACACTACCAACACCACCAATTCCAACTATAGCTATCGTTAATTCTTGTATTTTTTCATAATTTTCAATGATACCCATACGTTTTAATGCCATCAATCGGCTGCAAGATATTAGAAAGTAAATACAAATTTATAAAACTCAGAAAATTCTCTTTTATACATCTCTTTTAATAAAAGATTGGAAAGAAATATTTTATTAAAATTGAAATTTAAATAAGAAAAATATGCTTTATGCTCTAGGCCAGTTATATTCATAATCAATTCATAGGGCTGTAGCAGAAAGATTGACTTACAATTTTAATGGACCTTCTACAATAAGCCTCTATAATAATTAATCATAAGTCAGAAGCTGGAAATTGACGATTGTAACTGATTAATTTCCAGCTTCTGACTTCTGATTTATGACTAATGGCTTATTGTAGAAGGCTCTTAAAATATAAGTCATAAGATAATTCTTGTGCGTTACTAAAAATAAGATTTAAGTCATAAAACACTGTCTTAAAATAATAAGTCAAATTTCTGCTAAGGCCCTTAAAGAATTATGAGTAGCATCCTTGGACTATATTTTGAGTCACTATCAATATTGAAAATCTGTAGTATGTATATATAATATATAATATGTATATATAATAATAATGTGAACTGAAAAGGATATAGGCAGTAGGAGTCAAGCGCAAGACGTCGCGCAAATAATATCTATGAAGTATGAAACTTCTTTATTCTAAAACGTGTTTACATGTTTCGGCTCACTTTTGAGCCCTCTTCAGAGACAACACAAAGTAATATAAATAAATTGTAAATAAAAATTATCCTGTCATAGTGAGCGACATCTACCTCAAGAATTTAAATGCCAAAATTAAACCTAAAAAAAGTGAAAGAAAAAGAAAAAAGAAAAATGAATGAAAAGGAAATGATGGGAATATCGGAACAGAGAATATGAAAAACTTTTATCAAAAAAAAACTTTAAGATTATAATTAATTATTCCAAAAATAAGGATGCTCAACAAATCACGAACTATATCGCAAACATTATTATGAATTATTCAAAAACCGGTTCTTGATATTTTGGCCAATCAGTATCAGACACAGTGTGTTACTTCCAGTTTTAGCTAGTAGTATTAGTCAAGATTACAAATGGAAAAATTTAAAACGTTAATCAATTCCATGAAAATGGAAGTTAGAAAGTAATCAAAAATCACGTCAGAAAGACTTATTGTTGCGTACGAACAACATTGATTGATTAGACAACAACTCTAGCCTTTATAGCTTGTGTATGATCGGGAGGTAGGCCTTGGGAAGCTTCTCCATCATCTGCAAGTTGAGTCCATGCGTTCATCTCCTGATGAATATCATCTCCGAAATCAATCTTTTCTTATAATGAGACTCCTCGTCCAGTATTGTAACGTTGTTCCCAATAGAAATCATGGCTTTCTTGTAACCGATGCTCCGTTATGACATTACGAGTAGAAGTGTTCTATTGGATGTGATTCTTACACTCGGTGATTCTTGACCTCAGCTGTCTATACATCTGTCCCACATAACTTGCAACTCTTACAAAGATCTTATAAATAATATTCAACTTTTTGTTACGCAATAAAGAGTCCTTATGCACCCTAATAAATTCTCGTAATTTATTACTACTATAAAACGATATCCTCATATACTTGCATTCAATCTGTTTAATTTCTCAGTAATTCCATGAACGAAAGGAACAGTGAACGATGAAGGCTGCACTGCTTGAAGGCTGCTGCATTTATTTATGTTAGTTTGTGTCTCTGAGGAGGGCTCAAAAGTGAGCCGAAACATGTAAGCGCGTTTTAGTGAAGAAGTTTCACACTTCATAAATATATTATTTGCGCGACATCTTCTGCCCACATCCTTTCCAGTTCTTTGATTTATAAGGAGTCTTCGTTAGTTTGGATAATGTGAATTATAAACTTTCAATATTGACAATAAATATTAGAATGTACTCTTAATAATGACATTAACGTTTAAAAACCAATGTTTAATAAAACTTTTTAATAAAATTTGTCTTTGTAAAGAAAATCTTTAAAGAATAAAAATATCAATATAAAGTAGAATTATAGAAGTTATTAGATAAGTAATATAAAGAAAAGTTAACAGTAATTATTAAATTATAACTATGTTTATACAGCTTGATTTATGCCGAAGTTATTAATTTATAACATCGATATTATCAAACTGGTCAATCATCAAGCTATTATTTTTCTGAAGAATGGAATGACTATATTGGCTAGTTTCCTAACATCGATGTAGTAACTTTGATGTAAATTGAGTTGTGTAAAATGTAGCCAATATAATTTTTAAATCTATATATCTTACTTTAATAACATTATAAAAAAATAAAAAATCGTTCTGAGTGCTTTCCAGCAAGCAACACGGTTAGCACAATGATTATTTTATCTTTATTTACCAGTGGTAAACAAGGATGTAATGATTCACTGTAGGTCTGTTTTTTGTGGTTGAACTTTTAGAGTTTAAAGTGAGATAGATATACGTTTGATATGTATCGAAAGCGAGAGAGTTCTAGAGCAGTCGGGTGCAAGAACAGAAAATAGACCATGTGTTACACTGTATCGTCTGTGTCACTTGTTGCAAAGCATATGTTATTATTTTCTAATTGTAAGTATCAGTGATGGTAACGAGATACATAAAATAACTAGTAATAAATAGTACCTAACCCTCTAATTTTGTACATACTAAAATAATAAACGGTGACGACAAACATTTTGAAACTTACCTATATGGATTCGAATCCACCACTTCATCTGACATATGTTCGATCTTTCCCCTTGTTACTGTCACATTTTTATCTTTCTTTTCTTGCAGCTCGTTTTCGAGCTCTATGACTCTTTGTCGTAAGCTTTCTATTTCGTTCATATTTCAATTAAAAAAAAAGAAATAATTAAAATTTAACTTACTTAAAATAAATTTTGCAAAAGAAAGATTGTTATTATAATAATAACAGCTGCCAATTCTTCTCAAGGTGTGACTCGGCCACTATGCAGGTTGCTGAGTGCAAAGCATGATATATATAGTATATACAGTAATGCAACTCTGTCGACTTTTGTTAATGTTGGCCAAAATGTGCGCATGCATGAAATAAGTAAGTTGCTCACGTTGCCAGCGTTTTCATAGTTATCACCTAAACTTCTTTCTCTTTTCATTCTTTTTTCACTCTTAAAATTCACTGTTAAAATTCCTCGCAAACTCACTAGATTTATTCACATCGCAATCTAATTCTAAGTTAAAGTGAGTAAGTGCTATTATAGAAACATATTGGAGCATATTAGAGCATGCGACACGAATAAACTTTTATTTACTTTTCACTTTTTCACAAAAATTAGATCAATCTCTTGAGGTTTCTCACACATTTCATCAAATGGACAATACACGTAATACTTCCTTCTAAATTTCTATTCAGAACCATGTATGCTTGAAAGACATGAAATGTTTAAGTGGAACATTGAAATAGGGAGAGAGAGAAAGAGAGAGAGAGAGAGAGAGAGAGAATGAAAGCAATAAAAAAGAAAATGAGACGAAGAACTTACTTATTTCACGCATGCGCACTCCATTTTGATCAACATAAAATTAGGAGTAGCGCTACTATACATTGGCTGCTTTCCTTTTAGGAGACACATTTGACACAAATCGACACATGTATATGTCGCTTTCCATTTACAATTTTGTTTAACTCAATCACACTTCGCCTCTGCTCGAGAGGAGAATCAGAGTGTATTTCGAGTCTGTCAAGTGTGATTTTAATGAATTAAGTGATATTAAAATACAACCGCAAACCAATTTCCATCATTTTATTCTGTTTTCAATATATAGAATTACTTGTGTCGACGAATGTTAATAAAAAATTACAATGACAAGTATTATATATTTTTATATTAATTTATATTTATATTATAAGAACAAATAAGAAAATAATTTCATATTAAGATTTTTTATTATTTTCAATAATAAAAAAAAATTTTAATCTTTTAAGGTTAGTATTAAAAGTTATACACATGATACACACTACACATATCGCGTTCCATTTAAGTATGGCAAAAAATCTTGGCATCAAGCGTGATATTTGTCGCGCGCGATTAACATCGACACACGATATCCAATGAGTGTATATTTACCGTATTCTCATTCTGAAGATATACTGTCACTAGATATTGCGCGCGATTAACATCGCACTAATGTGCTGGAGCTACAACCGCAAAATACTAATGGCGCTGCAGCGTTAGTTGCGGCGCTCGAGTCAGTTCTTTTTTCCGGTTTTCTCTCTCTCTCTCTCTCTCTCTCTCTCTCTCTCTCTCTCTGTCTCTGGTGTCATGGCGTTCTGCGTGCGGATCTTTTATAAGCTTCAGCGATAAATTTTAAGTTAGTGCTTGATAAAATTAATCATCCCTTTATGTTCATTACGAAATCAGTTACTGCTCATGTCATTAGGTAATTGCTCGCGTCGTTAGATAAATGCTTATATTGTAGATTTTCTAGTTTCTCGTATTCTAACCTAGTAATGCGATACCGATATCCGAGCCGTCACGTAATCACATCTCTACTCTTTTAATCTGTACGTTTTAAATATTAAATTTAAATATATATTAAATCGCTTTATTTGAATCAAATTCAACAGTGAGTAAAATTTCTTTGCAAACTTAACGATTTCCCGCCAATTGTCCTTTGCCATTAATTAGTCATTGCCGGCGCCCAGATACGCTTGGCGCCACATTGGGCACAGCCATGCGAATTCCAACCCGCTTGCAACAGTTTCCTTTAAATGCCGTCATTTGCAAATACTTTCAATGTGGTAGTGAATCTGTGAATTGGTGTGAGCAATTGTTTCATGGTGTAGAATGCGCAAACGGGAAATCGAACTATTAACTGTCAAATTGTGCTGTTCCGGCATCCTTCCGCTCTTATGTTTTAACTCTTACTAGAGGAATTCTAGGGAATCGATTGTATCTTGAAACGAGGTGAAAATTACAAAAGTGAGCGAATTTACTAGAATATTGATAATTTCATTGGTCAACACCTAGTAAATTGCCCACTTTTGTAATTTTCACTTTATTTGAAAATACAGAACCTTTAGTGTCGTGGAACGAAAGTAATCGAACTAATTTAGGCAATTACTTTTTACCATGCTTTTTGATAGCCTCGCCCATGTAATACTTTCTCTTTTTCTTATTATTATTCTTCAATATCCTTATATATTTAGAGATCCTGATAATTTTATCCCAGCAAATCCTTCAGTTACACCTACCCACCATTCAACCTGAATGATGATTCTTATTTGCCTATGTTATCCTTCGATCTATTCCTAATAAACTCGGAGGAGTCATCGATCTCCTATTCTCTATACTCTATGGCCGCGGCCTAAATGTACAGTGTAAACGTAGTCATATACCAATATTCATAGTCAGATCTTATATTCAAGACCCTCTTAAGTATGTCTTAAGAACTCACGAACCAATCAGAAGGCTGCATTAACTTAATCTTAAAACATTACTTAAGATGGTCTTGAAATAAGACTTGACTATGAATATCGGCCATAGTTCCCAACATACCAATCTAGGTCTCACTTCTAGGTCAAAATTGGTCTTTCTTAACATCTTCGTTTAACATAGTAAAAAATATTTAACACCTGTGTCATCTCCATCGCAATATATAAATAATTTGTACTTTTTAATATATATATATATATATATTATTAATTTAAAATAATTTTCACAAACTCATTACAACAAGGCAGAAACGAATATATTTTATTACTTGCTACTTACATGAAAGTATCAAATATTGAATCAGCTCTGTAACTCTTTATAAATATATAGAAAAATTTAACGTCAAATTTAAAAAATAGTAAAAAGTGCCTTATTAGTCCATTAAAAAATAATGCAAAAATAAGTTGGTATCAAAGACTTAGTAAATGTAAGAGGTAGGAATCTTTTCCACAGCAATTTTTTATGTCTGGATGACATTCGCTACATAATAAAATGTTATAACGATAATACGTAATTTTTGCCTTTGTAAATTATATTCAAAGTGATAAATAATATTAATTGGAGGCAACATCGGGTTACGATTTGTTCAAAGTATAAGTAACAGACTTATTGTACATCTCTGCAAACATTAACTCAAAGCTCTTTTAAAAGAGCCGATTTAGCGTTTTTAAGTTTATCCAATCTCCTTTGTAGATGAGAATTTGCTGTCTCCAATTCCTCTACACGACTTTGTGTTTCTCTTACCTAAGTATAAAAATATTAAACGAACATAAATATCTGTAATTTTCTAAATTGTTTTGATACATATTTATGTATATCAGATTATTTTTTTGTAATAAAAATCAATATTCATACTTCTCTCTGCAACTTTCTTTTTTCTACTTTCAACTCATCTTCTGCTTTTTCAGATGCTTCTGCAGCTGATTTGTAACGAATTACTTGACTTTCTAGTCTAGCTACTGTTGCTTGCAATGTAGACATATCTTGTTCCGCTTTTTGTAATTTAAATTTATAATCGGCCAATAATTTATTTGCTTCACGTTGAATATCTTCGTTATCTGATAAACCTACAACAAATACATCAATTAATACGAATAAACAATATTACATAAAGTATATATCAATAACTATCCCTATGAAAATTTTCCTTACGATTCTTTATATAATTTTTTAAAATTTTTACGTAAATTTCAAATTTTTGAGAATTTTTAATCGTTCTTTTTAGAAAATTTCTCAAGTTTTTTATAAGAATTGGAATATTTTTTCAAAATATTTTTCAACATGAAAGTTTACATTTATAGAAATGGTCTAAATTTTTCATTCTATAATTTCTAAAGAAAACTTACAAAATCTGGAAAAAAAATTCAAGGTATTTAAAAAAAAAATTTCATGAATTTTATGTGACAAATTCATAAAAATATAAAATAATTTTAAGAAAATTTTTTCATCAAGATATATATAATTTAGGTGCTTGTATAAATAAAAATATGTAAATATTAACCTAATATCGAACCAGATGATTTTTCGGGTCTCATGCGATTTCTAGTTTCTTCTAATTCCAATCTTAAATGGCGAATCTCATCTTGCAATTCCTTTTTTTCAGAAGCAAATTTCCTCAGTCGAATATCTAAAAAGTATATACACCATAAAATTTTGTTTCATTATAAAAATGCTTGATTTCTTGATTAATTATATACCTAGTGAACCTTTACCAGCTGTTTCTAATAATTCTGCAGCTTCTGTACTGACTAATATCTTCTTTTTATGACATAATTCATTTTCAATATTTTCGTTATCCTCATCTTCATTTTCCTTATTATCAACAATAACTAAACCGTTTTCCTAAATTATAATATATTTTAGGGTCATATAGTAAAAACTTATATACAGTGACCGCTAAAAGTTTTGGATTACCTAAATAATTTTTAAATGGTTCGCGATGTATGATTGAAATTTACAGAGCTACAGTGAGATCATAAAATCTACCATTGAATCTTGAAAATACTCCACTTTAATATCTCCGGAAGGACGGAGGTAGAGGGCGGCCGAAAAATTTTAAATAACATGTAGAGGATCAAGTGAGAGAGCGTTTATATTGGCCGTAATCGTACGCTGTATGCCGTAATCTGTAAAATTGACCAATCATTTTTGAATATTCCCTTCTTACAGACGAATGGGAGAGGAATATTATGACTGATTAATCAATTCTTATAGATTACGATATACGGTTCGGTCAATATAAACTTCCTAAGAGTTAGTTTGATAAAACTTTCCGAGATGAAAACAACATGGGATGATCAAGATCTTTACAATTTTTTTCTGAGTTATGATCAGTTATGATCATTTAAACATTGTATTGAAATGTATGAAGCTTAAAGATTACAGTATCGCCGGCATTAGTATTAGATCTGTTCGCGTTGCATGAAATCCCCAAATATTTGTGCACTTAAAATAAAATGGATATATGTCTGGTTTGAAAAGAAAGACAATGAAGATGTCGAGTGCCCAAAGTGCAAACAACATAAATAGATTTATTAGTATTAGGGCCATTTTCACCAAGCTCTGATTAATTTAATGGGCCAACTGAAGCTGATGTCGGAGAAAAAATGTGAACTGAAGAATTAAACATATCGATGTGAACTTGATCAACTTTATCAAAAATCTCCTAGAAGAGGTACAAATGGGTATAAATAATTCTCTTTCAAATGCCATTGATCCCATTTCGATATCTTGAAAATTGGCTAAGTTCGCTATATAGGGGTCGCGCAAAAACTGAAACGCCTTGCAGAAAAAGTTGGAAATATTGACTGTCATGTGGTCACAGGTCACACATAGGCCGTGGTCTGATTCATATTGATAACGCTCATGAGCATTTTGTTTTCATTTAATATTTGACAAACAACAAGGATGAAATGATTTTTATGCGTTATGAGCATGAATCGGATCGTGGCCGTTCAATAATCCTCCATAAGTTTGGGAACATCTTACATTTTACAGGTTTGTAAATGATCATTTAATTGAAAAAAGACGAAATAAAAGTACATACATACGTATTTTTATTTCATCTTTTTTCAATTAAAAATTTAATAACATGGACTATTAAAATATGAAATTTTAATTAAAATACGATTTATATACGAAATCTGATTCTTCGGGATCATTTTACAATTTTTACGGAGTCTGAAATCAACTTGCGATTCAAATAGTTTATCATTTTTATAGAAACCGCTAAATAACAATTAAATGACCTGTGTATATACAACGAATACAAGTTGCAAAACAAATGACAATATACATATAAAGAATAGACTAAAGTGCGAAATTCAATCTTGAGCGCTTCGATGTTATGAAATGATTATCCAACATATTTTCGGCATGTACAAGCTTATAGGTGTTCTAGATAAATGTTTATTGTCATTTAGACGTCTTACGAAGTATTTAAATCAAAAACATATATAGATCGCTGTCATGTAATGGCTTTCTTGTAAAATGTAGGATATTTTCAAACTTATGGAGGATACTGTATGTAAATACCAGTATTTCGCGCGCAACGATATACGAACTGTTGGAAAACTCTAGTTTTTCTCCGATAGGAGTATTCGAATTTGTTCTGCCATACAGCGCTTTTCCGACACTGTATTTTCAAGCCCATTTTTTTCGGGACCGATCGCTTGAGTTTGATGCCCTTCTCAATACTTAATGGATGAAACGTTGCACATAATGGCAATAGCATACGGAAACAACCAATCAAATTTGGGTCCAAATGCACTTTCCTGCGTAATAGCATACTAGAACAGCCAATCAAATTCATACTCCTACTGCGCATTCACGAAAACATTACATCTTGTATTTTTACACCATGATTAGTATGAGCACGCACGCACGAGGTGTAAAGGCCATGGTACATAAAAAAACTTAAGCAGTAAAACGTAAGCAGTAAGGAAATCAATGTTGGGTTAGTTACTGTTTATATATGGCTTTACGAACTCTACCGTAAATTCGTTTACTGTTTACCAGGCAATAGAAAGTTACTTTTTAAAAGTTACAGTTACTAGTTATCGAGTAGAAAAAGTAACAACCTAGCAACCCCGAGTATGGCTACAATATAACCTGGAAATAATACGTAATATAACAGAATTAAAGTGATATATTTTGTTATATAGTTATGAAATAATTGTTGACTATAACAGTAAAGTAACGGCTCATATAATCTCATACATAATGTAACACATTTGTATAACAGATGTTATGTTGATGATGAAGGTAGACTGTTATATTATATATTATGTATTATAAGATCTATATATTATTGTTATATTTACATTATATAATAGCTGTTCTCAGCATTTATTTATAATTAGGGAATAACAGATTTAGTATCAGAAAACATGCATTTTATACAAGTACACAGTTTCTGATAGATTAAAATTTCTTTTTCCTTGTTTCTATTGCCTATATTTTTCAGATAAGCAGCGACCAGTACTTAAGACAAAGTAAGTCTTAAATGCAAGAATCGACTATGAATACCAGCCTGTTTCGCGTCGTGAAATTGATACTGAATCTTTTCTTGTTTGACACTACTGATACTTTATAATGTTCTTAAATGTTCTCTTTCTATAAGAAAGAGAAACATAAAACGTGAAATAGTTTTAAAATAAGAACGGACTATAAAGCCCGCCCCATGTTTCGCGTTTCACAGTTGGTAGCTCTTGCTCCCTATTGACAACACGGAGCAAAAGTAGGCGTGGTTTGACCGAACTGCACGCACCATGGTAATAGCTTATTGCAGAAAGGATTATCATACATAAGAATTATCATACATAAAACATAAGCTGCATAAGCATAGCTTAAGGCCACCATTAGATCATTCAGTATAAAAATATCATATTGATTTATATAAGATGTTGGTCCAGCAATCTTATGCAATGCTTATATATAGTTTATATGTCATTTTATATATGATTGTTTTAATAAAGTATATATAAATAAGATTACGTAATTATAACACTCATTATATAACAATTACATAACATTGGAATTATTTATATTATAGTCATATAACGTTTCAGCATGTTATGTAACTATTCTATACTTTTTCTGTAACTACGCAACATTTATATAACGTTTATTACATTGTTATATTTATTGTATATAACTGTAATTTGCAGTGAGTGAGAAATTACAACTAACATGTTCATTAAATGTAATCAACACGTTATATTATCTGTTACATTCCGTTTTGTTACAGCACACAATATAACAGTTATATAATTGTGTTTGCTGGGAAGTTACTAGTTACCGATTTAAAAGTAACTCATTACATTTACCGTTATTTGAGAAAGTAACTTTTCATTATGCGTGGTCTACAATGGCAGTATCAGTGAGGCTGTAAGAAATTGACCAATCACAGTCGATTATTCTTCTCACATTCAACTATGATTGGTCAATTTGTACCCTTATAGTCTCATCTACTACTGCCACTATCATTGTAGACCACGCATTATTTCGTTACTTTTTTAAAACCGACGATCGTCATTACAATGGACCGATTTAGGGGGGCTTTCTAGTCTCAAGTACTATGAGTGGCTGTCCAACCATATCATGTCCAATCGTGTGCAAAATAAGATAAGTAACTGTAAAATTTGTTACCATTACCAAAAAAAATGTAACTTCGTTATTGTTATCAAAGAAAAAAGTAACACAGTTATCAGTAAAGTTACCAAAAAAGTAATTTGTAACTATACCTTATTACAAATAACGAATTATTTCCATTCCTAGCCAATAACAATGTTTAAATGATCGTAACTCTGCGAAAAGAAATCGTAAAGACCTCGATCATCCAGCATTGTTCTTGTCTTAGAAAGTTTTTTTAAACGACCCCATTTAAGATTTTCCGATTCTCCTTTTCCCCCATTCCACCTCAGAAGAGACTATGGAGACTTTTAGTTGAAAACGAATTTCTTTATGTTGAAATTATGGCTAAAATACTGGATGAATCACATTTTAATTGCGATATTTGTAATCAGAGAAGGCTTCTGAAGACTCGTACAAAGCGATTTTTTTAGAAAAAAGGAAAAATAAAAATTTCTATCACTCGATATGTACTATAGTGTAGTTAAGGTGTATATAATAATATAATTTGATTATTAAAAAAATTTTCAAGAATCAATTTTCAAAATCCGGTTCTGTACGCGCAGTTTCATAAAAAAAGAAATCAAAAAGGTGTTATGACATAATATTACTTCTTGGAGATAAAATATCAGCATAAAAATATATATCTATACCATAAATGAAAAGCATACGATTTTATTCATTAAAATGTTTTTAAGAATGAAATTGCAAAATTTGATTATTTAAGAGGATCCTAAAGTGAAGTCCGAAAAAAAAACTCTGATGAGATTGTTGTTTCATCGATAATATGCAACATATCGACATACCTTATACTATATCAATATCGCACTCATACGTACAAATTTTATAATTAATTAATCTTTCGTATTAAGTATCTAACTTAATTCTAAATACTCATGTTATTGATTATTCAAAATCTTTGTTCAAAATTGATTGTTGTAAAATCTCTGATCCAAACCAAGATTATTTTGTATTTACGAAGTAAAACTCATATATAAACATTATTATGAGTCGACGTTAAAAATCGGTAACAAAACTAATTTTCCAACTTTTTTTCGTTTTTGGCATAAAATCAACCGATTTGAACTACATTATCATTTATATTTTAATTATGGAGAAGATTTTGTAAAGGCAGTTAAAAATACTTATTTGGAAAAATTGATAAAACAGATTCACTTTAGGATTCCCTTAAGGAAATGCTGAAGCCGCCTGTATTACCGATAAAACTAGCATTTTTGATGTTTTTGTTCCTGTCGAATTTCTTCGTAATGATTTCACAAAATAAAAACTCCTTTTCTACGATTAAAATGTACATGCTAATGTACTTGTCGCTGGTGTATTTTGTGTTCAAAATTGGAAAAAATAAAAAATTAGATTTCTTTATCCATCTTATCTTCAGCATTGGTCGCCATATTGAGATAAAAATGGATTAAAAAATCTGTAATTTTTTTTTTCTAGCTTTGAACATCAGCGACAAGTACTTTAGCATGTACATTTTAATCGTGGAAAAGAAATTTTTATTCTGTGAAACCACTACAAAGAAATTCGATAAGAACAAAAACACTGGTTTTATTGATAATATAGACTCCAGCATTCATTGAATAAACTTCATAATTCATAAAATATAAGCCAAAGCAAGTTTCATGGCAAAATATTTCTTCTACGAGACAATATTATATGGTAGAGTCTGATAGAGTGCAGATATGTAACTGCACGACAAATGAAGTGTAAATGAATTGGCTTGTCATTCCTGTCGACTCGTAAGGTGGAGTGCTTTCGAGATTAAATGATAGATTTTATGATCCTATTGTATTTCTGTGAATTTCAATTCTATATCTTGAAACATTCAGAAATTATTTAGGGCTCGGGACTTTTGATACAGTATATTACAAGATATTCTTTTATAAACAATATTATTGTGTTATTTTGAACAATACTCAATAATATACGTACTTGTATAAGTGTATCTCTTTCTAGTAATTGCGCTCTGCAAATATCTAAATCTTCTTTCAATCGCTGACTGACCCGTTTTAATTGTTCAACATCTCGATTTTTTTCTCTTAATTCTCTACGTAATTGTGTAGTGGTTTCCTCTAATTCTTCCAATTTATCTTTTAACAAATCAACTTGGTAGGCATAAGATGATTTTTCATTGTCTAATTGAGCATTAGCTATCATAGCCTTTCTAAATTTTTCTTCAAATTCTTTTAATTCCAGCTAATAGAAATATTTAAAAAAGACAGTGTATTAATTATCATTGAAAATTAAATAATAAAACAAAAAAGGTTTGTATAAATATACCCTAATATCTCTGCTTAATCCTGCATCTTCCAATGAATCTTCTGAAGATCTACGACTCGATTGGAAATTATTGGAATTTGTAAGAAGTCGCGATGTACGTACTGGATCTGGAGTTACTCTCATGGTTCTATTTATATCAACTACAATCACGTTATATATGTATATGCACAATGATTCAGATATGACAAACTTTGAGAGATGATAGATCTTATCAAGTGTAATAATTTTATCAAATAACAGATTCATTAATGTTGTATTATGATTAAGTGATATTTTTTAATGCTCGCAAAAGATACACGTTAATGTTATTTATATTTTTGTATTTATTTTTTTGCTATATATAAGTAGCTGTTTGAAGCAATGGTCTTCAATCTAAATTACACACATTTTACTTGCAAAGCATTAATTGTCGAACTCTTTTGGAAATGTATTTGATGAGATCTTCCTTCTTCCTTGTTTTTTGAAGTTTATCACAAATATTACTATATTGTGTATACACGGAAAAAGTGGATCTAAATATAGCACTTCATTAATTTCAATACATCACCAAATTCTCTGTAAAGTGACACGTGTGTTTTGCACATTTATAAACAAAAATGTAAGTAAAAAACATTTATTTGCTTAAATAAATCTATATTCATTACAAACTAGCTTTTTTATTTATTACTTTCTGAATAATTGATGATTTGGGTGGTGCAATTAATGAGCAATAGTGTGGACGAATTTCAAAATAGCATTGAGCATATATCTGATATCACTGTTAATTTTGTATGCGTATTTCGTTTATTTCCAGGGAGCACACTGTTCGACTATTAGCTCTGTTTCTTCAAAAACTACAGTTTAAAAAAATTTTTATATAAATAATGTATAAATATAATATATGCGATCGTTGAAAGTATTTGTAATAGCAGATGGAATCATTTCTATGCAAAACACACGTATCACATTCATCCTTTACAGGGAGATCAACGAATCTGCTTTTGAAATTAATGAGTAGTGTAAATTGTAAATTATTGCAAAAATATCAAAATATAAGTACAAAATTCAAAATGATGATTTTTTTAAACTACCTGCACATATGTCGTAAACCCTATCAGCATTCTCTTCTGCCTCTTTTTGTTGTCTTTCTAATTCACGCATTCGTATTTCCCTGGCTTCTGCTCTTGCCTGTCTCCTAGCAGCCAGTCTTGCTTCTGCCTGAAAATATATATACAGAAAAAAAATCTATCATAAGAAATATATTTACAGAAATATATTTATTGGTCCATTTTCAATAACCATACTATAAAGTTTTGTATAGAATATCTATTAGAATAATTAAGTAAAAATATATAAATATATGGACTTGTTTATTATGAATTTCTGACATGACATTTAGTTTTTATTTTATAGAAAGATAAATTATTTATGTATGATTGCTATGTAAATCAAGCTTAATATTTAGAGTAAATAAATAGTACAGTCATCGAGATGCTAAAGATGGTCGGCATTTATGGAAATTCCTGTGCCTGTTAAAATTTAAATGATTAAGAATAAGAAACTAGTAATTCGATATTAATGTTATGATTTATTAATTTCGTAGACATATGTTTAAAACTTAATAATATTCGATTTTTATTTTTGAAAACTATGATGATATCATTCGAGTTTGATTATCAACAGAGATGATAACTGCAGAGAAAAAATTGTAATTTTTCGGCAATATATGATATTATAGCATTAAAAGTATGCATATTTATTTATACAACATTTATACATATAATAAAAAATTAAACGATTTTAAAAATATATTATCAAAATATTTATGTTATTAATATATTAATAATTATAAATTTTTATTAATTGTCGGTAACATTATCATTCTTCAATTATTCTCGGGCCGCCCGGACTCCATTGATAGTTATGAAAATTTGCTCAAGGTCTTTAATAGTTATTATATATTATTATAGTATCTCGTTGACAGTTAAATGCAACAGATAATTTAAGATATAAAAATTTCTATATACAGGATGAGTCTAATAAAAAGTTCATGACATTTTTCTCGAAAACGGTTAGAGATAAGAAGATACCTATTATCAAAATTGTAGAATGAGTAGAGGAAAACATACTTTGATGACTTTGAGTAACCTTAAATGTCCTTGGTTTTCATACTATCAATAAAAACATTTTTTTTAATGAAAAAGGTTTTTTTGCTTGTTTTGTCGATAGTGCTCAATGAGCAGAATAATTTTTAATTAGAATATTTTTGAAAATTCAAATGTTATTGGGATATAAGCCGAATATAGAATATAGAATATCAGACTGTTCACGATAGAAATGTTAGCCAATATTCAATGTCACGCATATTCAGGAAAAATAACTCCATTTATATCGGCATTCCAAGAATTCTCACAGAATAATTTTAATACAAGGATCCAGTTCTGTACATGGGCTCAAAATAAATTACAAATTAAGATCCTAACTTTTTTCGATTTGTGTTGTGATGAAGCAACATTTAATGATGGAACCATTAACAGGCACAATTTGTATTATTGGAGCGTCCCCACACTGAGTGAGAACTGTGGATTAACCAGTGAAGTATTAATATTTGAGCAGAAATTATTGGAGTTCTGTTAATTGAATCATTTTTTTTTTATGAATTTCTAACAACGGAGAGATTTGTTCATTTTCTTAGAAATGATTTTTCAAATTTAGTGGAACATATTCTGCTGAGAGATAGGACTCGAATGTGGCTTCAGATAGATGGTGCACTCTATAATACTTTGGTATAAATGCGAAGCGAGAGCTTAACAGAATATTCCTAAACAAATGGTAGAAGTAGTCCTGCGTTATTTCCTGCGAGATCATCCAACTTAACATGTTTAGACTATTATCTTTGGGAAAGAGTGAAGGAGCTTACTTTCAATGTCCCACTTCAGAAAAACATGAAAAAAAAAAAACATAAAAAATATTTACAAAATAACGAGTTAGAAGAAGTTTAAGCAAACTTTTCATAAAGATTACAGGCATGTCTGGATCAACATGGCGAACATTTTGAACGTTTATTGCAATAATAAAAATTTTGTTTCAAATTTTCAGTTTGATTTATTTTGGTTCATATTCCGATAGTAGTTGAATTTTTTAAGATATTCTGATGCAAAATTATTCAGTTCATTGAGTACCATTGATAGAACCAAAAATATTATCTTCTTCCTATTAAAAAAAATTTTTTTATTGATAGTATGAAAACCAAAAACATTTACATTTAGTTACTCAAGACCATCAAAGTATATTCCATTACTTATCCTACAATTTTGATAATAAGTATCTTCCTCCTATCTCGACAAAAACGTAATAAACTTTTTATGAGACTGTATATTTGTTGCATAATTTTATATTTTTTAGGGTTCTAAATGATACATTTCATAGTAATATGAATATGACTTTAAATACCGTTGTCAGGGTTACGTAAAGATCATCTTGAAATTTTTTAATGGAAATTATCATTTTTTATTACATATTTTTGTAGCTGGCGTCAAGAGCTTTTTAAAATGCTTTTTGAAATTATTTTTCATTAAAATCCAAGTTATAAAACTTGAAAATTACAATACCATCGACATTAGCATTCCACAAGGTGTCCGACTAATAACTAAAATAAATATAATTATAAATGTAATTTATAGTCATGATCTCGACAATATAAGTCAAGGTCAAGGCCACTGGATGTTTCTCCTAGGCTTGGTTTTTCATTAATTGGTTAATTTATGGTTAAGCTTAACCTGATATTTTATCCAAAAATTTAATGAAAAACCTTATTTACACTAACTATATTTACACTAAAAATTCATTTTTACATAAATAAATAAAAATAAGAGAAACAATCTTTAATGATCTCGGCATATGTTGTCAAGACTACGAACAATATTCAAATGGTTCTAGTTGTCAATTTGAATATTCAGAAAATGCTGATGGCAGCAATACTGTAACTTTTATAAGTCTCTATAATTTGAAAAGTTCTTAATGAAATATAATTTCATAATAATGTTTTAAAAAGCTCTTAAGTTCGAAAAAATCCATTTTCTTTAGATTTTTCTGAAACTTACAGAATAAGCTTGTTTTAGTGTCATGTCTGAACATATGTGCTTTAAAACTCAATACCTGAAGCGGGATTAAAAATCGAAATATTCCACTTCAAAGTTGAAGCGTTAAAAAAAATATATGTATACACACACACACACACACACACACACACACACACACACACACACACACACACACACACACACACACACACACACACACACACA